CCCCATTCTTCAAGCACAACTTCAAGAGCAAATTAGGTGGTGTATTAACAGATGGCGCAAGCAAGAAGATGAAGCTAAAATGGTTCCAAAAGGGTCTTTGCCATTTTCTCCTGGCAATTTCTCAAACCAGTTGCAAACCTGCAGTAACTCTAGAACCACAGAGCAGCCTACATGTAATAGGTGTTTGCATAAGGATCTCCCTATAATTATATATTAACTGAAGTCTAGTCATTGTAAGATAGTGTAGAGTATAAAAGTGTTTCAAACATGATGTCTAAAAATACATCACTGTGACCAAGTTCTAAAAAATACAAATCTTTGTAATTAGGGGCTCATTTTCATATCCCTATCCATGGAACACAAACCTCAAGCAGTTCATTGAACTTTTCCTATTTACTAATTTTATATAATTGTGTGTACCATAAGCACATTTGCGCAATTTTGATATTTTTTTTTTAATCACTCTGCAGCTGGTAGGGAGATGATACACTTCATTATCTTATTCTGTGGGTCATCTAAAATGGATATTAAGTAATTCTTCCTCCTACAGCTTTGGTGCGGAGCCAAGGAGAACTAGGAAAAATAAGATGCCTGACTTAAAAAAAGAGGATGATTTTTATTTTCAACATAGAAAAGTGTTTTCACATTACATGCTGCTTTCAACAGTTTTGTCGTAGCTAAACAGACTGCAAAAGAGAAAATCATAACCTCCCAAAACACCTCCAGGTAGTTCAGCTGGAGAGCAAGTTTCACTTCCAGAGCCCAACACCCTACTACGCCATTACCGATGTGCAGATCAGCACCGCTCAGTGAGCAACAAGGGCTCCTCTCGCTGAATAAGGATTTGGGGCAAGGATTTTTGTGACTGTGATTTCAGTAAATGCATATTTAAATCAAAGCCTAATACACATTTTCATACGAACATTGACCTTCTTTACCTGCAGCATATTTGAAGGATTTCCAGTATCTGCTTTTATCCCAGTTGCATTTTGCGCTCAGAGGTACTTCTTGCATTTTACTTTGTGCCACTGCTTTCTAATCACCTTTTATTCAGAAAATTGCAAATTGGGAATGGTCTCAGCTGAGGGTGGGACTTCTCAGCTCGCCGTTGCCTGGTGCTGACCTGTGGCTACGACAGCGGGGGAGCACCGTGAGGGCATCCCACAGGCATCCAGCCGGCCGTAACCCAGCTCAGCAAGAAGCATCCTGAGTAATAAATACACAGGCTTAAGTCATAGTGCTTGATGAAATATGAGCCTGTGGGACAACCTTGTGTACTGATCTACTCTGCCAGTGAACACGTGGCCAGTCGATGCTCACAGAAAGATAATTACCCACTCATCAAAGCACACAGGCATTTTTGTCCCTCAAGTCAAAGGGGCAAAATCTCTACCGATGAGGCAAGTGGGGGTATTTTTAGCCATGAAGCTCTTACTGCGATGGATGTACGGGGGAATGGTTTCCTCTGGAGAGAGCTGCCAGAAAAGTTATCCCTGCTTTTCTGTGTTGTTTTCCTTGTAAATCAGCGCTCTTACAGAAAACATTACACTAACATGACCAATCCCAGATACACAACAACAAACCCCCTAAAAAGTCTTGCCCAGACAGTCTCCTCATCGATCTGACCAGCTGAGTAAACTCGAAGAAGAAACTGATGACTCGCATACACATACACAGGAAAATATTTGGGTTTAAAATAAATCCTCGGAATTCTGTAACCCTCAGTGCTTTACGTTGCAATGACTTTCAGCCCTTAATGAGGTATTTCTGTCAGATTAAATTAATGATGCCAGCAAGCAAACAAACACCACGTCTTGCACACCTAAAGCACCGTGCGTTGCCTGTGTGGGCTCCAGTTTGAATAATGCAAAATGTCAACCCTGCTTAGAGGTTTCTGTTTTGGGAGGAGCGTGCCGTGCTGGCAAGCCTACGCAGGCTCTGTGTCTCCACACACCGAAACCATCCCAACGTGTCACCCCAACCAGCACTCCTTTTGAAATACTGTTCTGCAGGCACGTACAGCTCAGCAGCGAGGAAAGAGGTGGCCCAACAAGGGAGACGGGGAAAAAATGACAAGGCCTATCACCAGAAAAGTTAATCCTTGTATAGTTGTACCAGTGGGAAAACATGTCCCTCCTGAAGGCACATGGCACGGGCTGACAGCCAGAGAACCTGAACACAAACAGCATCCAGCGAGAAGGAAAATTCTAGCATTTGACAAGTGTGGGCGATCTTCAGTTTAGGCTGGGGAGTTTTTCGTGTCAAGTACTATCTGATGGCAAATGTATGCTTTACTTTGAAATGTCTGCATGTCCGAAGTGAAATTATGCCAATTTTTTCCTAACTCCAAACTTCATTAAGTTGATGTCTGCCTGTACAGGGCTAAGCCTGTGAGGCTCATGGTTTTCTGAAGTAACGTTTTCCTGTGCAGTCTATTTTCTATTACAACGAGTGGATTGTAGAGCTGAAATGAATGTCAGAATTGTTTGCCGGATGCATTACCAGATACCTTCTTTTCTGAGTCCCAGAAAGAGAAATTAGGTTTGCAACACAGATCATTTTTGATTTTTTGAAGCAAAGATTTCATATAAAACATTCCCAGACAGTGATTTTCATTATGCATTTTACTCGCTAGGTATAATCCCAAACTTATTTATACAAGAGAATTTCCACCTCAAACTGCCACATATTTGTCCTGCAGATTTTGAAAATTACATTTAGAGAAAATAAAAACCTTTGGAAATAAGCTTTCTACAAACTCAAAAGATTCTGTCAATAGTGCACCGGGTTTAAATCTGTGAGAAGGTGGAGTTATGAGCCAGGGGTGGTGAGAATGCAACAGGCACGTGCAGTACCCTGTCTCCAATGATGGTCAGCAGAAAAAGGAGGAAAGCAGATCATCTGAGAAGCGTCCTGCCCTGGTCAGCATGCCAACGGGGGTGCCAAGGGGCAGAAACCAGGCTGAGCCACATCCCACCAACCCTGTTTCGTTTATCCTAATTGCTCACATGGTTCATTTCTTCATGAGGGCCTGGGTGCTGTGATTTCTAATGAGGATCACCTCCTCTGTTTGATATTCCCAGCCAGGCAGTGAGAAGCAAGACCTTATTGCCCCTTCCAGTACCTGACGGGG